AATTGCTTAAATGGAAATTGGAATTTAAAATGAATTGAAATTGTCTTTTTTAATTTTAATTTTTTTTTCTTGGAATTAAAATGAAATTAAAAAGTATTTCGAAGAAGAAGAAAGTGAACAGACACAGACAGACATACACAATGTATATATGGTATTGGTATTGTTTTTTTTTTTTGTATTTCAATTTTTTTTCTTGGAATTAAAATGAAATTTAAAGTATTTGGGGGAAGAAGAAAGTGAACAGACACAAACACAGACCATAGACACACACACATACACTCACATACACACACATACGTACACTCACATACACACATACACACACACACACATGCATATATGGTAAGGTGTATTCGATGTTATATGAAACAGTAATGAGAGAGATGTATGTTGAAAAGTGATGTGGAATAGAAGATGAAAGAAGAGGAAACAATAAAATTTGTTTAGCTTCTATAATTGATGTTTTGAATGTGGGAGGGTGACGCTGATAGGGTGAAGGTAGGTGGTTGTGGTGGGGGGGAGGGGAGGGGGACGCTAATAGCATTGATGCTAATTGTGGTAGGAGGAGGAGGAGGAGGAGTAAACAGTTAGAGGAAATGAATTAGTTATAAACACTTATTCTCACCTGTATTTGGGAAGTGTTCGAAAGAATGCTTCTGATGATGGCCAATATTTGGTCATAGTATTGAATGGAAAAAATTTTTTTCATCCTTAATTTGAGATTTAAAATTTTTTTTTTGCTAAAGAATTTCTATTAATTATTCTTATTTGGTAAAAATTACATTTTAAATTTAACGAAATTATTAATGAGATATTTATTTAGTTGAAATTATTTCGGCAAATTAATTGTCAGAAATTTAATCGTTTAATTATTGTATTTACTGATTGTATTACATGAAATAAATTATTAATTTATCATCAATTATTGATAATCATTTCATATTTTGTGCTATGATGTAACCCAATTCTTCTTATATACATTTTAGTGCATTTGATTATTTCAGAATTATGAAATATTTATATCAGGTTAACTAATATCAGCTAGGCTATATCATCAGTATCATCGTTCATTCTTATACTGTTTTAGGTTGTTATCAGTACGTATCAGCGCATTTTTCCAATTTATTTAAAAATTCAATCGACAATGCGTTCCTCTATTACATTAAGATGAAATTTTTTTTGACACATGTAATTATGTTTGATTACTTTACTGTATATTTTGCATAGGTGATTGCATGTTTACCTGAACATGTAATCAAATTCAGATCTGAATATTTATCTGAATATTTGATACGCATGATAAAGGAAAATGATAAAAGAAAGTTATTATCTGTTATCATTTTCATTAAGCAGAAAGGATAATTTTGTTCTGCTAAAATAATGTGACAAGTTTATCGTTCATTTTTTTTTTTTTTATCATTAATTTATCTTTATTCATTTTATATAACTAATGTACTACTACTATACAATACGTATCATTTTGCATATCTACTACGTACACTCTTACACTGATATTTGATATATGATTAATTCATTTCTAAACATTTTTGTCACATTTGCTTGTCACATTTTCATTTCCTTTACTTTCACTTACCTTCCTTTTTTTTTCGTACTTCATTATCATCTTGCTTTCCCATCTTTTCTTTGATTACTTCAATCTTTTCAACATAATAAAATATAAATCATCTTGTATAAGAGAAATTTTAATTTAATTTTTGTTTTTTTATTTTTTTTACGAAATGCACAATTAATTTATAATTCATTACCAATTTTTTTTCTTAACTTTACGCTTATTTATCAATATATTTGGCATAAATTAACATTTTAAGTAATAGCTAAAATTATTTTTTTATTTTCTTATATTTAGAGTATATCGGTCAATTTAAATTATCCATATATATATAAATTGATTTATTTGAATGCAACATAAATTAGCTAAGCTATTGTAGAAATCAAATTTCGGAAAATTACTGCTAGTAACTTCTAATAGCATTTTTATTAATGCATACATTATTTTGCTTTAAGATGATAATGAAATTTCTCATTGTTATCATCAAATTATCGCTATTTTACGCTTCTAAAACTTCATAAATTTCCGAATCGTTTAAATTTGCTTAAATTTTAATCCAACAAATTTTTACAGAAATCTTTTTTGGATTATTTATTTTTCGAAACTTGACAATTGCATTTTTTCAAAATTGATGTGACATAGAAAAAAAAAAAGGAGTTATATACGTATTGGAAGAATTGCTGCGCAAATCTCCTCAAACAAAGCATTATATTAGATTGTCGATGAAAACATTTTTGGAAAGGATAATATGCAAGGAAAAAGTTAATGATTAGCTTCATTAACTTTTTCCTTGCATATTATAATTTGCAAATTATATTTCTTTTTTTTTTTTAGCGGCTATGTACAATTATTTGACATTAGCATCATACAATAAATATATGATCAAACGATTATGATCACTTTGATCATTGCTTAATCACTGATTAGATCATCTTACATCCCGAGAAAATTCATTTTCTATGGCCAGTTTTTATTGATGACATTTCTAGGACAATAACATAGATAGAAGTATGAAACGAATGACAAATGAATCCTAATTTGATTCAGTCCCTATAGGTCTAGCTAATTGCTTTTTTAATAAGGATATTTGTCCTTATCCAAAAGATCTTTTTATGATATATATTTGTTGTCTTTTTTTTTGACTTTTTTTTTAAAAAGAGTTTTTGAGCAATCTATGCTTGTTTTACTTAGCGTGATAACTCTAGTGAAAACATAAATCAGGATTCTAACAACAAGTTGAAAAGTTAAAGTTAGAAGTTATACTTTGATAAATAGTTTCTTCATTATGGTAAGATTAAAATAATTACTTTTGATTTCACTTCATACTTTTATGGCCATATGTAATGGTTCTTGGCCATTTGTAATAATTCTTGGCTATTTGCAATAAAATCTTAGTGTCCAGAATTCAACAAAGAAACAAATATGTAATAAGTTCTTCTTGATAAAAAGAAAAGTTCGCTTATAAAATATATTTCCAATTTGAATTTCCAATTATAACTCAAGTAACAATGGTTGTTAATTGACATTATATATTTTTTTCCCATCCAACTTCTCATAAAAAAAGGATCATTAAATATGTTTGATTAATCAAGGTAGTACTTAGCTTCCTTAGTAATTTTAGAACAAATGATGTCAAATATTAAATTATGCAATTTAATTCATCCTTTAGTTAGTATATTTATAATAGTAATTAAAAAAATATTAATAATAATTCAACAGGTGGAAAATAATCAATAAAATTTCAAAATTCTACTTTTAATAATTTGACTGCACAAATGACACATTTAAAAATATTAGTGGTGACGATTTAAATTAACAATCAATAATTACTTCTTTTCCGATAAATTATTTTTGAGCTGATAAACTTAAACTTTGGCATATTAAATTTATAAAAAGTTGAAAATGAGATAAAAAGTATTATTCCATGTTTATGAATGAAATTTTAAATTTTTGCATAATTTACTTTAGACTTAATTATTCCATTAAATTACTCAATTTATCATTAGTTGAATTTTCAAGAGTACTTTTATTCTTTTTCATTTTTTTTTTCCAAGGATGACGAATAGAGGAATGGCGTTTTTGTCCTCAATTCTGGTGCTTATTTCATTTTGCTAATTATTTTTGTTCTCAATTTTAATACTCATTTTAAGTATTAATTTGGTTTCAAAATGCAATTAAACCTAATTTTGGTACAGATTTTTGACGTAATAAATGCTTTTCTAGGAGTGTTCAACGCCAAATATTTCACGTATTAGTGGCGTATCCTCTATGGATCCAAAGTATATTCCTGGCGTAAAAAGTGACGGAATTCCGTTACATCCACAACCGTCAACTAGTATCAGTACTTCAGCCGTTTCAACAGCTACATATAGAGATTTCTT